TCCACTGTTCCATCTAATCGGATGTTTTACTAACTTGTTCTCTCAGATTCTCTACATCTGCTATGAAGGTCCCTTTTTGTGGCTCCACATTTCACATTCATGCTACTTCTCTTCCCTCTGCTTCTCACAGTTTGCTTATTATCCCCATCTTAGTAACATGGGCAGTATCAAACATGCAATTTGTGGCATTCTGTATTCTCTTTCCTTTAATAGTCACAAAATAGGGAAGTGCGTATATATATAAAATGTTTCTAAAAATACAAGTAAGCGACTCCCATTGTTTCTGCCAAGCAGTTTATGTAGAACTGAAAAGACAAATTTTAAGAAATGCTTTCTGAAATTGGGATGTGTAAAATCTTGTTAGAAAAGATGAGGTAAAATGACCTCTGATAGTTGAGGGGGTAGGATGAGAGCCCCGCATAGCAAATCCATGCTTTCTCTCCCAGGACAGCCTTTTCAAACTCTGTGGGTGGCCATTTCTACCGCGTGGTTTCCGGAGGTATCCGGGTCTTTATAGTTGGAGATATTCATGAAGAGGGGGGAAACGGTGTTAAACACTGACTGGAACCTTCAGTCACTGCCCGGCTGAGGATGAAAGGCGGGTGGTCTCTGTGCGTGTGCAGGAGCATACCCTGCAACTGAATACAGGGTAGGGTTTGCTGTGCTCCCAAGGAGAGAGAGAACAGTCCCAGTGATAGCAGAGCCTCCTGAGACTGAAAACAACCAACTCTGAGCTTCGGTTTCCTCCCCTACCAATACAGGGAAATTAATAACCCGTTGGTAATATCATCATCGGTCTGAGTGACTTTATACACTGTGATTGGAGCCAGGTGTGCCTTCAAAAGTTTCATTTCATGTCTTCCAGTGGATTAGCCTCTGGTAGATCTGATGAGATTACTATTTTATTCTATGTGAATTTTTTCTAAAATCCAGATTTTCAGTTTTCCTAACTTACCCCAGTTAGGATGATTGGATATCTAAGCTGTGGATGTATTCCACTCTGAAGATATTTAACAAAAAGAAGCTTTAGGAAATTTGAAGTTGGGATATGTAGGAACCGCCCATATATATATATAAATTATATATATATATATCCCATATATAGAGAGAGATTTATATATATATAAATTATATATTCAGTTAACACTAATGATGATCTTAAAAGAGCAGTCTCAATTACTGTAAACGGTTTCGCTTCAGGCGAGCTGCACAGAGTGGATTTGATTACCTGCAGTATTCTGTGAGGCCCCAAAGGTAATGCTGAGGCTCAGCAGGGGAAGGGGTGTGAAGAGGGAATGGACTCCTGCTGTGATTTATAATAAAGGGAACCTTTTTTCTGAGAAATTTTATCTGAGAGTTAAGAACTCCTTTGAGAGTTTCGCCATCAGCTCAGCATGGTGCTATTATTTTGTTATTGAGACACTTAAACTTTTGTTTTTCTTACCTCTTACAGAGGAGTCACTAGTTTGAAAGTCCGGAAGAGAACAGCAGTCCCCGTGTGTAACCGCTTGTTACTACCTAAATCACCACTAGAAGCTTAGCAGACTCACCTAAAACTTTGCATGCAACCACTCAAGTAGTTTTTAACAGAAAAAAAAATTTAAATATGGTCAGTGATAGCTTTTCATATAATTTAAGAGAGAGAAAAAAACATTGTATATTTCACAGCTTTTCCTGTTATCCGTGCTGTGTTACTATAGAGATACTGGGATGCCTGTCAAGCTGATACTTTTTTTTCTGATACTTTCTAGTCTCTAAAATATAGTAGTGTTTCTCCATAAACAAAGATGAGGTGGAACGAAGATTCCTGGAAGTTTGCTAGCTCCTTGGCCCAAGCATTCCTCAAGATCTAATGACAACGACGTACTGTTATTGGATTCCTGAGCTTCCACATAGAACGTTCTCACAATGTCAACATTATATTTTAATAAAATAAGGTCAAATGCTTATTAGCTATTTAAAATCAATATGCCTGGTTAATTCACAAAATGATAAACACTTATCAATTAAATAAGTCTATAATCAAAACACCATGTTTTTTAATATGGCACTTAGCGTTTATTCAATACCTAGAGTATTATAAGCACCTGCGGATGCCTATGACTGTTTAGGAATATTCACTGTCACAGCGCATGCTGCATCTATGCAGCAGATCCATGGCTCCTGCAGGCTGAACACTTTCTCTTGGCAGGCAAGATCTCAAACTGAACTCTTGCCTTGCCCCTCCTACCCTGGTCCTCCTCATTCTAATACACAATATCCTTAGTTTAACACAATTCTTTTGTCTCCAAATTTTCATTTCATGAAGCCTTCACATAAAAACAAACAAAATAAAAATTACCCTCTACTGTGCCCACCCACACTTATCTAGTCACCAAATGTGGAAAGATGACTTTCTCGGGGGGTTTGCTCGGGTCTCCATCCTCTCTAAGCCTTTCCTCTGGCAGAAGGGGATGCTATAATGGGTCACAGTGTCTCTGCATCACTTGCTCACATATCTCAGGACACATGTTCTGGTCTCCATGAACTGGAAGGAAACAACCGTATAAAAAGTTATCTAATCTGAGCGTGTTACTTTCTCCTCAGGACCTTCAACTTGGCACCGTGACTTTAGGTTTCTTCCTCTATCATGCTCCATCTTAATTTCCTTACTAATCCTGGAGCTGACTGTTCTGCCTAGACTGCCTGGCCAGCAAGACCCACTGCTTTTAAGAAAAAGATGTGCAGCGCACACACTTGCTGTTAAGTGGGCGCTGGGGAGAAAGAGCAACACTTTACTCAGTGAAGATCCCACCCATCCTCATTTTACATTCTTGAAGGAACTGACTGAATATAAATAAAAATCCACACAACAGTGACTACACACACCAAAACTGTGCGACTCCAAACTTCTTTAAACATAAAAAATTAACCCATCTTCCAACAACTTTTAATTCACCCATGTAGTATGGACTTATTTTGCTAGTAATATGTCTCACCCAGGTAAGAAGTGTCAGATTCCTGACTAAAGTTAGTGTGAGCTTCTTTGCCTGTTGTAAATATTAGGCTCTGGTATATGAAAGACACTTCAGATGAATATATTTTGTCAGTCCTACTATGGGTGGATTTCCATATTTAATTCTCCTTCGGTCCTTAAGACATTTGTCACCGTTTACGTTAAAGTAACAACAATCTGTTTAAAATGTACCAAACAGTGGACATGGGTATCTTCTTGAGTGGAACCTATGATCACTCTATTTTAGGTTCAAGTTTTGACTAGTAATTAGTCACTGTCTAATGACTCATATGATTTAAGAGCCCAGCTCACAACAGCAATTATTCCTGAAGGGTTTAAATTTAACGGGCAATGATTTGCAGAAGCCATTGAAGAGGAGGGCATTTGTTGATGATAGAATGAACTAAATGCTTAGGCCCCGGGGTGTGCTTACCAGAGAGATTAAAGACCCACCAATGCTGTTTGCAATGTATTTATTTATTCTTATTTTCTGTGTATGTCTGCATGTATGTATAGGTACTGCATGCATGCATATCTGGTTCCCCTTGAGGTCAGAAGAGAGCATCAGGTCCCCATAGAACTGAAGTTACAGAGGGTTGTGAGATGTCACATGGTGCAAGAAATCAAACGCAGGCATCTGCAAGAGGAGCAAGTGCTCTGAGTACCAGTCCTTTTATCCAGCCCCAAGAAAAATGATTTTTTTTAATTGGAAGATGTTCTGGCTTGCAGTGTTTCCATTTACAATTTATTATAGATTCTTATGACTACGAAATCATGGGATACAGGCAGGAAATTCCTTTTTCAAGTTTCAAGTTTCACAATATAGCAGAAGTGAGCACAAAGTCTGAAGCACAATGTGACCCTTGGAATGTTGACTCTTCAAACCTAAGGTCAAGGTATACCAGAAGATACAAGACGGCTTGTAGATTCCAAGTGTTCATTCTGCACAGCATTATCCTCTGGGCAGAATAACTGCCATCGTCATGAGACCAGCTGTGTCTCCTTGTGAAAGACAACCTAGCAGGGCTTGTTAAATGTTGACATTCTCTCATAAAAGAAAGGGGAGGAAGAGCCTTTGGAAGCTCATCTGAGTATCCAGTCACCCCTCCTAGCCAGTTTTGTGCAATTCTGCTACGATTGTTTGCGGCTTTGGGGCTTGAGGGACAGGCTTGATTATACAGTCTGGAGAGGACTTGGGAAAGGGGACTCGGTTATGCAGCTCAGGGAAGCCATCATCCATACAGGATGAAGACTTTTCAGTGTGGCTGCTTTGGTGTTACCCACAGGCCTGTCAGCCACACCTCATCATGAGCTGTAATGTAATGCCCTGTGATACAGCTGTAATGAGCTGTAACTGCAATGCACTCATGTGCGCCTCTGGAGAAATTCTGGTGGAATGGAACTCTGGTTTGCCATTGGGATCTTTTAACAGTGTGGTGGTGTGGACACTGTTGAGTTCCGCCCCCAAAGAGAGAATACTGAAGACAGGGAAATGTGAGAATGGTACTTAGAGGTACTACATTTCCTGTTTATACATTTCAATTCCGGATACAATTGTTACATCTTCCAAACGGTGAACAAAGGAGTAAATCATGGAAATGTGAGGCTAGCCAGATGATTTACATTGGTGCTCATATTTACCAGCTTTCCAGCAATGTTTAAGAGGTTCCAAGTGAATGCTCTGATCATTCTATGATTCTGAGCATGCTTATAATAATTCATAATGATTTCCAATTTGGAAGCTGATCAAAGCTTTTAAAGACAGGGACACCTCACCAGGATTTGATTCTTCACACACAAGATATTAACATCAACCGCACCGCACTGATGGCATGCAATGAAAGCCGTTCTTGAGTGTTACAGGTAAATCCATGACATGATTTCTGCTGTAAATGGCATTTGGGTGCTGCAACCAGCATTGTCTCCTACATTCACGGAATGGAGTTTACCTTCGGAAACGGTAAATTTAGCTCTTCTTCACTACAGATCTCTTGGGGGTACTTACATAGTCTTCATAAGCCTCATGAGCTGGAGGAGGGGGTGCTCGGTATCCCGGTATTGCTGCCGTCCCCCGGGCTCGAGGTGTAGGGACACCTCTAGCTATTGGGGGCACTGGGAGAGCTCCACGGGTCACAGTGGTACCCCGAGGGGTGAGAACACCTCGTCCAGGTGGTGGTGGGGGGGGAAGAGCACCCCCACGGCCCCTAGGAGAAAAAGGTGACATGCAGATGAGAGACAAAAGGACAAGGTATGGAGTTCTCAGCTCACTACCTCCACACAAATCAGTCTTGCCGTAGAACAGGTAGTATATAATTTAAAAAGAGCTTTGAGTAACGTTGAAATACATTTCTTTAAATATTATGACTTAGTTCCAGTCAAAACCATGCAACATATTTTGATATTTTCTGTTTATGTACTTAAAACAAAGAGAAACAGAAGACCAAAGTCTACATTGATGTTGGCTATTATGGGACCAAGTGTGTGTGTGTGTGTGTGTGTGTGTGTGTGTGTGTGTGTGTGTGTGTAGACTAGTTCCCAAGATGGTGTTTATTGACAGTGATCTTCAATGTGGTCATATCTCAAAAAAATAAAAAAAATCAACTTAATAATGTGTGACATTCTGGCCAGAGCGCTACCACTGAGCAGTTGTAGTAGCTTAAGTCTCATGTCCCCGATTTATCAACATTCTGTCACGATCCGAGCTGGTGTAGTCACTGACATATTTTCATATAACTCCAGGGCTGCTGAATTAGTTCTCAGCAATGAGAAGGCTGATTGAATGTTCTGAACCACGGACTTAACACAAAAGCGATCTGAACAAAAGCTTGAGATCAAAGGATGCAACCATTTTTCTAACATTCTGAAACCTTTAGAAAGGATGTTTATCTAAAATCTTTGGGCAAATACATGGTTATTTCACTTTGTATTATATCTGGAAGTTGGCCTCTAGAAAGCACTGCTATCAGCAGGGACACTAAAGCTTTGAGGAAAATGATGATCTTTGGAATGCCAACAATCATAGCATTTGGCTCTGCCTTTGCGTGGAGGTGCAGGTTACAGAGTCTGCAAAGAATAGCCATCAAACTGGCTCTTTCTTCCTGGGAGAAAATGAGCTTTTAGAAGTGAAGAATAAGAATGCTGGCAAAGCTTTTATAATTCTAAGCTTATCCAGCTTAGGAGTAGAGAATTTAGTATGAAGTAAATATATAAAACACTGGAGCATTGGATGCAAAGGACCCAGAGCTGCAGTGCCAGCTTCAGGCACGATGGCTGAAAAGACAAGATTATGTTATTACAATAGCATAAAGACATCTGTTAGGTGCAATTCCCTGAGCATGTGAGTTGTTGTTTGCACGTGACATGTTTGAACACACAGTGAAGAGCTTGTAGTGATGTTTCTGGAGGCTGTAGAGTCTTTAGGAGCGGGAGCCTTACTGGAGGGATTAGTCATCTGTGCACAGGCCTTGAGGTTTACAGCCCAGCCTCATCCTGTCCACTCTTTGCTATCTGCTCTGCTGAGACCTGAGGAGCTAAGCTGTTCCTGCCACAGGCTCTGGTCGCCATGAACCATCTTCCACTGTGCCTTTCCACACAGGATGGACTGCACAGGCCTTGAGGTTTACAGCCCAGCCTCATCCTGTCCACTCTTGGCTATCTGCTCTGCTGAGACCTGCGGAGCTAAGCTGTTCTGGCCACAGGCTCTGCATTCCCTCCAGACTGTGAACCAAAATACGCCTGTCTTTCCTCAGTGAAGTTGCTTCTTGCTCACAACAAGGAGACAAGTAACTAATCCAGGCTCCAGATGCCTGACCTTCACAGGGAACATCCTCCCTGGTCTGACAACTGTTGTAAGAATTACTGCTGAGTTTAGTATTTTAATACTATCAAAATGTCCACATGTTGATAATAAATTACGTGTTCTGGTTATATCAATGAAGAATGGTAAGTAAACATTCTAATTACCTAGACCTAAAATCATAAATCTTCCTAATGACTAGTTTCTAGATTTCTAAATCTATGATGCTTTTTGCACTGCAATTACGTTATGCTGATATTGGCTCTAATTTTTCATCACATTTCTTCTCCAGTGACTCTTAGACCTCCCCTCAGCAAAACCTCATCCACGGTCTGCCTCATTCTCACTTATGTGCTCTGCCGTTTCTCCCATTCAACTTACAATATTCATCATCTATTTTAGGATACTGTCCAGGGCTAACTCCCCAGTGTAGTATTCTTTTAGTTTCTGACTTCTTCAAAGAACATTTTCTGCATTTAATCTTTACTTCATGTTCATTTCTGAACCAAATGTCATGTCTTTAGTTCTTGTTTTCAGCACTCTGTGAAGATACTCTTGGCTGAGCCCACAAAGCCCCCAGCCTACAAATTTCCTCTTACAGCTCCCATGACCCTGTGTCTCCTGAGTTATATTTAAGACTTTCTTCAACTATTATCTGGAAAATGTTTCTTTGGACTTTTATTCTTTTCTCTGCTCTGTCTCTCTGTATTTTAAGTGCTATTCATTTCTGCCAGCCTTGGGTAGAAGGATTGTCTTCATTGTCTCCCGAGCCATGATTCAGTCACTTTCTCCACTTTTTTACCACTGAACCCAGACAATTCCTCTAACTCTTATCATCACAGCAATGTCGGAGATCCTGTCTGAAAATCAGATATGATTTTACACCTCTCTTTTCAGACTCGATTATTTCTTTCTGTCAGTTCTTAATGTTGTCCACATATTCCTTCAATATCTGCTTTTTTTTTGGCAGTGTTTCTCTGTGTAGACTTGGATGTCCTGGATTTGCTTTATAGACCAGGCTAGCCTTGAACTCACAGAGATCCACCTTCCTCTGCTTCCTGAGTGCTGGGATTGCAGGTGTAATTCGGCTAATATCTGTTTTTCATAATAATATTGCTTCATTATTTATTCAATTAAGACTTTAAAATAAACATTAACCAAAGTTAAAACCGATTCAAATTTGGCAAGTATGATAGCCAAGAGAAATATTTCTTCCCTAGGGTTCCACCTAGCACCTATTCCCTATGCTAATAATAGAACAAAACCTATTACTATTATATGCTTTTAAGATTTCATAACATATAAATGAATGATTTTAAGTAGTTATAGTCTCAAAGAATATAGAAGAAATGTGTGGCTTCAGTTGGTGTATCAAATATGTAGTTAAGGTATTCCTGTTAAATTGCTACAACTGTTAAAGATGACATTTCTGAACCATAGAAATGGTAACGTTTTATGGTTCAGACCCAATGATTGATTAACCTACTTAAGATGACTTGCAAGGGTGCTGCTTCAGAATCTAATAACATCAGGATAGAAATGTAAAGGTTTTATAAAACATTAGTATCATAAAAGCATCCCCTGCAACATGTATCAATAAGCAAATGATCCCAAAAATATTGCAATGCTTACTTTTTACTCTTTGAGATGAACTATGAGTCTAGAAAAAATTCTGGTCTTTTCGTTCTTAGAATTAATTCCCCCAGAATTTTCACATTGATCTATAAATGGTTAACAGTTTGGTATATCACTTTGAAATTTAAAACCTTTTTTTTTTTCTGAGAAATGAGTAAGGTGGTAGAATTTTAAATGTAAGAACAGTGGTGTAGTCATAAAGGTCGAAATGTTTTGGTATTAATTAAAGTTGCAGAATAGTTTAGCTTTTGTGACAGATAAGATATTTTAGGGTATATCCTTTACAATTGTATGAGTCGGCTAAATAGTGAAGGAAGTGAGTGGATTACACAGGCTGTGTGTGAGGGCTGTGAGTGGTATGTGTGTGTATGTGTGATGTTTACTTGTGTGATGTTTATATGATGTAGTTATATGGCTCCTGGGTTTGCAAGTTCCAGGTGAGGATCACGAAGACACATTGTTTTCAGGCTTCTCATAAAAGAATTCATCATATAGACCAGGCTGGCATTGAATCTACATAAAACCACTTTTCTCAGTATCTTGAGTTCTGGAATTAAAGGCCCGGACTACCACACATGGCCTACCAAACTTTTGTTCCTCAGTTCCTCACTTGTAAAAACTATTTATCTCACATTAAAAAAAAATGAATTCATGTGTGCAATCTTATCAGGAGTGTTGTTGAGGCTGTTGTTTTATGTGTTTTTAAAGCATCTGGTCTTGCTTTATGGTGTGAGTATTGACGACACTGGTGAGTTTGATCTGGAATCATGACACAGAACAGAACAGCAAAGGTCTGCCATCACCATTTGTTGTTAACACACCAAGAGTGAGAACTCATGTACCTGGAAGGGGCTGTGGGAGCTATTCTGATCCCTCTGCCTCTAATACCCCGGCCACGGCCAGACTCTTCTGAGCCGTTTAAGTAAGACAACTCCCGGAGCTGTTCTTGACGGATTTCATCATTGTAGTCCTAGAAGACAAAAGCATAGTATGATGCGTTACTATGAGAAATTGAGTTCTTAGAGCCGAAACACAGACGCCACAAATAGTAAGACAAGGGCTGAGCATACCACTCAGTGAGTGAACACTTGTCTAGCATGCGAGAGGCCCCCAAATCTGTCACCAGAGTTTCAAAACAGAACAAAATAAAATAAGACAATGGCTGAGTCTAGTTCCATGCCTTGCCTCAAAGCTCTGATCCAAGTACTGAGGCTGGAGGTAAAAGAGGATGCTTGCAGAGAGTCCAGGGGCTGCCTGGGAGCCTGAATTCTATGTCAAAGTTGGCTAACTTGTTACAAAACTAACAGTACAGCCTTGTCTGTTCCCTTGACATTTATGCATAAAACCCATACAGTGATGTTGAAGAATGTGCAAATCTCTTCAAACCTCTCATTGTATGAGGAAACTAAAGATGCTTTCTTTCATCAAGAAAGTCTTCTTCAGGATTTAATTCTCCTAAATGTCATTTGAGGCTTTTTCTGAAGAAGGAAGGTATCAGTGTGTTATCAATACATCAGAGGTACCTCAGCTACAACTGTCAATATCAATATTATGGAAGATGTTATTCGCTTCGGTGAATATGTGTAGATTATGAGTGCATGCTATACAAAGAACTCCTGATTCTCAATCCAAACAGGAACAAGACCTAGAACAGGCTAGATTGTATTAGGTTCATCATAATGGTGTGTAGCACCAGGATTTGCTTCAGGAAGAGAAAGGAATCCCATCAAAGAACCTGTCCTGTAACATTTCCAAAATAAAGAACTTCCTTCTGTGCCTTATTGACTGAAAGGGAGAGTCACAATGTAAAGCAAGCTTCACAGTTACAATCATGGACTCAGGTGAAGCATATATCCTTACCCTTCAGTGTGAGTTTATCAGTCAGTAATTTTAAAATGACTAAGAAGCAGGTCTGAGTCATTAGAGAGAGATGTAACCTTTAATAAAAGGTGCAAGTTTTAATTATTTCCTTATCTAATACACACACACACACACACACACACAGAGAGAGAGAGAGAGAGAGAGAGAGAGAGAGAGAGAGAGAGAAAGTCTGTCCTAAAACTTAAAAGTTTAGTAGAGGAGAGCCAGCAGAGATGGCAATTGAAGTCCAGCCTTGAGATAAAAGTCCAGAGCATCAGCAAACAACTCCCATTTAATACAGAATAAAATGAATTCATGACTTAAGCGAAGTGAAATGAAGAAATTTCAGTCAACTGCATACCTCTGCTGTGCCATGTCTGGGGAATTCTTAATGCACAGCTTGGTCCTATGCTCCAGAAATTGTCTTGATTACAACCAAACAGGCTAATCATACTGTAGCATTTATTTTTCTGTTTTTAACAGGTTGCTTTCATGTTTACCCTCTTCAGCTCCTGATTACAGTTTATCACGTTTACCACGGCAGACAGAAGAGCTATACAGGGAAAACTGCAGCTTCTAACAAATCATATGTTGTTATTCAATTTCTGATGCCATATTCAAGTACCAACTAAATTGGAGAGAAGAACATGCCTGTTGATTCACTAGGATCAGGAAAGCAGAGCAATGCCTCTGCTACTGGAACCGAACAGCCTCCAGTTTTTTAGGAATTCCTGAACCCAAGCCATTGAAAGTTTTGTTAACCTTGATATGGCACCTTATCAGTTAGGTAAAAATATAAAGAAAGTGACTGAAAAGTGCATGAGTACTGGAACTTGAGTTCCTTGCCATTGGAAACTCTTATGTCACAAGGAGGTAAAGTATGGCTCAGCTCTTTGGAAAGGTTAGAGAACATGTGGAGAGATTGCCTCCATCTGCAATCCTTTGTGAGATACAAGAGAGGCCCTTAAGAGTTCTTGTCTCCTGGTCAAACTGATAAAGGCCAGAAACATCACCAGCGAACCTCAGAAACATATTTTTCCAGATTAAAAAAATGGTGAACTGGTCCTTGAAGCCATTAAGAATCTTGTGTCGATTGGCTCTAAAGATGCCGAGATTACAGGTGATTGGTCAGCATAGAATGTGAGAGTTGTATTTTGGCGTCATGTTTAAAAAGCCATTCTCCACTTCTCTGGATGAGGGTTCTTAGATTGACATATTATCATTTATTTCTTGGGTTAGGTGAAATCTCAGATGGAATTCAATATATCTGAATAAAATGTCTAGGTATCATAATAGCTTGAGACATTTATTGAAACTCTTTGTTCAGTGTGTGTATTCACTAGCTCAGTGGCCTTGCTGTTTTGCTGCTCTGAAGGAGTCTCTTAACATGGAGAGAATGGCAATGCTGGTTAGATGAATATTTCACACTGAAGAATATGCTTAATGTAAGGAAAACCATTATTGACAACGTACAATCAAGTTCCATATGGACTTAGCTAAAATGTTCTCTTTAAAAGATTAATCACTTTCCAGGTTTATGGTGACCAAGAGAATGGAGAAATGCGTAACTGACCAAGAACTGCAACTGCTGCTTCTGAAATACTATACCCCAAGGTCATGCTACCACGAGCTTCTCTCAGCTCCTGATGTTAAAATAAGCCTGTTCCCGGAGACACTGGATCCCTGTGTCGAAAGGACTCCTCTACGCCATTGCTGCACTGAAGTGCTATTAACTTCACCACATCAGAGAACTAGAAACTCACACTTCTCTTTCCTTTGTCTCAGATATTGTATGGAAGAGGCCTTCTTATTTCTCACAACTATTTTGATTTTGTTACAAGATCATTTTCTCTAATAAAATCCTCCCATGTTTAATTCCCTCATAGTATTCGGTTCTTCAAGGACTCAAGTGGAAATATAGAATTCTGAAAAAAAAACAAAACAAAAGAAAAAAACCCAAGTTCCTAAGATCACAGAGCTGAGAACTGTGGCAAACCCCTTTGTATTGAAGCGTGTGAAAGCTATTCACCTCAGCATATCCTGTAATGTGACTAAACTAGTCTAACTGCTATTTTTTACTTTAAAATGGGAGTAGATAGGGTTAATATTAGACTCATTACTGATAACTAAGACATGTAGTACTTTGCATTGTAACTTATTTGATACATTACTTAATGAGAGACTAGGAAAGACTCATGGAGGTTAGAAAACATGGTAACTGTTTTGAGTAAGGAAATGGAACAAATTGGTTACTACAGAAGAACCATGACAGCAGAACATAGGTTGCTTTCTGTGTGAGTGTGATGGGACGTGTGGAAAGGAATACAGACATCTATTAGCCTGCGGGTATTCAGGTAGAAATCAATGCACTTTTATTGTTTTCCTGTAAGTTATGAAATGTTTTGTTTTTTTTAATATCACAATTAGTTTTAGAAATCTATTGCTTGAAATAATAACATGTATACTCACAATGTATTTTACCCTGAATTAGATAAATTTGCTGGATGAAACAGTTTCCATGAAATGTATGAGTATTCCCTTTTGCCTCTCAGATAAAGCCCCCTCCCCCACTGTGCCATCATATGGTGCAAACAGTATTTAAAAAAAAAAGTGCTGTGAGCAGAAGGATGTTTGGATGTTCCTAGAAAGAACTAATGTGCAAGTCTGCACACTAATGTATATGCATGATTTTCCAGTTAGATACAGTCTTGTCCATCTGGTATGGTGGCATTTTGCCAAAATACAAATTGGGAAGATTATTTAACTTACATTTAAATGGCAGGTAATGGCAGGTGTTAATAGGCAACCTGGGGGTTCAGTAAGGGACCATTTTGCTGCCAAGTCCTCTCCATTAAGACTCTACAAGCTCTGGTGCCACACATTTAATACTGTGGCCATGAGCTGGTGAGATGTCTTGGTGAATAAAGGCACTTGCTGCCAAGCCTAATAACTCGAGTGATTCTGGAAATCTACATGGTGAAAAGAAAGAACCTCCTCAGGCAAGGTGCCCTCCCCCAGCAAACAGCTGTCATGGTACCAGCACCCTACAAAGAGAACTGAAGAGATACCAACATCTACAAACCATAGTAATAAGCAAGAAAGTGAAAACTGAGTATGGTAACACACGCCTGAAATTCTAGTGACTGGAAAATAAGAGAGAAGATTATGAGTTAAAGGCCATGTTTTCTTACCAAAGTAAAAACTGAACAAAATGAAAATGTCGGCTCTGAGCCAGTATCATACTTATAATTGAGCTGTAATAGGTAAGAAACGTAAAAAGTTATTAGTATACATTATTTAATAAAACAAAGAATTAGGTAGTTTCACTGAGCTAGTATAGAATGCACTTTACTCTGCCCACACTAGAAATCTGAAAATCCATTAGCAAAACAGTCAATGAAGAGTAAATTAATATTTATTAAGCATCTGCCCAATGAATGACTTTGTATAAAGTTCATATAAAAGCTTTATAATGGTATTTATCAAAGGCAACTGAATATCAGAATTTCAAAATGTATTTAACTTTGAGTCTTAGAGTGCTGTTGATGCAACTTCTGATTTTAAATGTCTTTCACCAGTTTTTCCTGATATTAAAATATCCTTAAAAGCTATGCAAAAATCACAATGTGTGCTGATAACAAAGCAGATTGAATGCATATATTACATAAGAGTATTAGAATGCCAGGTGTTCTTTCTTTCTCTCTCTCTCTCTCTCTCTCTATCTCTCTCTATCTCTATTTTCTTTATAAAATATTGGCTACTGACATATGAGTTCTGTAAAAATCCATGAAATGAGCAACAAAGCAAAAATATCTTTTGTAAGACTTTTAACTTATGATAGCCTAGCAAATCAGCTACCACCTCAGGATAGATTTAGGATACTAGAAAATTATTCATATGACTCTGGATGTCATATTTGAGCTGCTATAAATACCAAGTTCCATTTATCAAAGTAAAGTCAATGTGACTGTAAGATTGTTTATTAAACATTCTTGACAAATTCAAACAAAATCCAGCAAGGAGGAGTGCATGTAGGCACACAGTCACACTTCTAGTTAAGGAGCTATCAGCATTTCATTGCTGTAGGGAGAGAGAGAGAGAGAGAGAGCT